ATGAGCTTTCACTTGTTTCCACACTTTAGCGTGACCTACAGATGTTTTTTGAGATGGTACCGCCTTATCAGAGTTAGGTGGCATGACCTGATCCAAACGATTTAGCCTTCGGCTAACCGTTTGGAGAGTATTATAAAACCTCTCCAGGTAACTCATCACAACTGGATCGAGCTGAAAGTTCTAGGGAATGTTCGCCGTGACACCTTGGGGAGTTGGAGGTACTTTAGGGGAAGTAACATCCTATACCCGGGGGATTTCCTCGTTGTTGGTGCTAGTTCACTCGGTTTCAAGACCACGAGCCATTTGTTCACAAGTAGAACTGATTGATCAAAGGTTATGAATGAAGAACGAATATGAAATCAGCCCTCCTTCTAACGCCAAACTGTTATTGCTTGATTTTGACACCAACAACTCGCACGTGCAAAGTACTGAGCTGCTCTTAGAAATTACACGTGAATGATTATGATCAGATACAAAGACTGAATAATAAATGAGAGATATGATTTTTAAAGTGGTTCGGATGTCTAAAGCGAATCCTACATCCACTATTTCTTTTACATATGAGAGATTACAAGAGGTTGCATATAGCGAACAGCGAGCAGAGGTACAACAACTGAGTATTCAGAGAGAATATCAGGTCAGTCTCTTTCTCGTAGGTTATCTTTGCTCTGAAAATAAAGATTACAATTAGAGAGCGGGTTCAGTATCAGAATCCCGAAAATCCGCAAGTGGAATTCCTCTATTTATAGTAGAGAAATTCAAGGTAATGATCACGAATCTGCAAGTGGGTAGGTGTCGTACAAGTCTTTTTTTGCCTCCTATTGACTGATAACTTAGGAAATATCCTTAAATTACGTAGGGCTTGGACAAGTGTACGACCCTCAATCACTCATAGACAAAACCTGAATCTGCCAAGTTGATGACAACTATATTCTTTCTATCATGAAGTAACATAACAGCTCCTAGACGGCATAAAATCTTCTTGAACTCTGATTGGTACTTGCTGACGTAGAGTACCATCAATCCTATTTTTTAGGAATAATAATTTGTAAAAGAAGATACACTTTATTATGGAAGTTTTCAAAACTGTACATATTTTAATTACAGTGCTACAAGTAAATTTTCAGTTCGCCTGGATTTGAAGAAGCTATAAATTAAAAAAATAAGTGATAAAATCCACTGTTTAACACGATAAAATTACCAGAATTAATCAGACTGATCTTGATCTATCTCCTATTCTGCACCACTATTAATTGCTACTTGTCCTCATAGATACCCTCGCTAAAATATGAGGAATAGCTTTTGGCTTTTGTGAAAAGTCTCAACTATTTTAGAAAGCTTTTTTGCCTTGTTTAGTTAGGAAATAATATATTTTTAAGGCATTAATTATGTGTAAATTTTATCTCAAATTCTCAATTATTCAATTTTTAATCTTTCAAGTATGACGTATTGTAGTTGTAGTCATGCACAAATCATGCCACTCTTCTTGGTGTAAATACATTTTCTGATCATTCAACAATAACATAAACAAAAATTATCATGAATATTAATCCCATTAATTTCATGAATTACTCATTGTTTTTTTTTTTCTTTTTTATGAACAGGGTGTCTATGCTAGTTTATATATCCTTCAACTAATCTTTCATGATTCTAGAACTATCCACCTATAAGAGCTTTAGTGGTTACCTCTATTAGCAACTAAAGAATTATTCAAACTTAAAATTAGAATTTCTTAAGTAATACACTCAAAAGTTTCTATTAAACCACTTTGTCATCCAGAGATTGCTTGAATTACCCATTCTCAAGTGTTGACCTACAAAAACATTTTTGAATCATTGTATGTTTTAGGTTTATTTATGTACTCTAAAACTATATGTTTATATCATTCCAAATCAACTGAAGAATCTAAAACTTTATGTTTATATCATTCCAAAACAACTGAAGAATCTATATTTATATACTCTAAAACTTTCATGATTCTAGAACTATCCACCTATAAAAGCTTTAATGGCTACCTCTATTAGCAACTGAAAAATGATTCAAACTCAAAATCAGAATCTCTTAAGTAATACACTCAAACGTCTCTATTAAACCACTTAGTCATCCAGAGATAGCTTGAATTACCCATTCTCAAGTGTTGACCTACAAAAACATTTTTGAATCATTGTATGTTTTAGGTTTATTTATATACTCTAAAACTATACGTTTATATCATTCCAAATCAAATTTGACAGGAAGATCATGTGTGATTTATAATATAATAATTTTGGTATTATTAGATAATACTATACCATAATTATCCCAAAGTCATAACTTATGTTATTGTTTAGACATAATCAAAGAAATTTTAACCACTATTAGGTGATTGAGTCGTCGACTAAAACTTTTGGGTACGTAAAGACACCTCCTATCATAGAAAGAAAAAAAGAAAAAAAAAAGTAGGAAATGCCTTTACAACAATGACTACTGCTTGTGCAATGATACCTCTCTAGCTACAACAACTGGATCACAAATTCACAATACAAGACTCATAAATGACCCAACTAAGGGGGTGTTTGTCTGAGCTTATGAAAATAAGCAACAAGTGCTTATAAGCTAATATTTTAGCTTATAAGCATTTAAAATTTTAAGCAATTACGTGTTTGGTTAAAGTACTTATAAGTGACTGATAAATAGTTGACGTATTTGGTAAAATATAGCTTATAAGTACATTTTATTATAAAATAGTTAAAAAGGGTACTATATTAAACAAGAGTATACTATAAAATTTTAAAATTAAATAAAGATAATGTGGTAATATACTTGATCAAACTATCTTATAAGCAAAAAAAAAAAAAAAAAAAAATTCAACTTATGAGCTCAAAAAAGTTATAAACAAACAAATCAGCTTAATTTTAGAGTTTATAAACCAGTTTGACCCGCTTATAAGCTTATATAAACAGAATTTAGCCGCAACAGCAAAAGCAGGAAGTCATGAACTCTTATTCCAAAGTGTCCAAAACAACATAAAGGAACTCTTGGTCAGACTCGGAAGAGGTTTGTTCAAATATGCCTTATCAAAACTTCATTATTTTAATCTTGTAATTAACATATAAACTTCACCTCAGATGACTAAGTTATGTGAGTGATTAAGTTAGAAAAATTGTTAATGTCTTTCAATAATTTAATTGAGTAGAAAAATTGTTAATGTCTTTCAATAATTTAATTGAGTAGAAAAATTGAATCTTAAACTGTAATTTTTTCAACATCATCAACTATATCCTATAAGACCCTACAATATCCCAAATAAAATCAAAGACCAAAACCAAATCCTAATTGGAAATCTTCTCATTTTTCAACCACACAAAATTCCATCTGTGTCATGATTTAGATTTCATGTGGGTCTTATAAACTTTGTCATCACTGCCAACAATCCATCCATCTGTAACACTTCTCCAACTTTCTAGACAAGTCCCTCCCCTTTCAAATCTCCGTCGTCATCATGTCCTCTCTAACTCTAACACAGCTCACGTCATTGGTAAACTGCTTCAATGGCCACCCTCTTCATTTTTTCACATGCACCATTGTCTCATCTTTCATGCTCTCTCAAAAACACAACCAAGAACCAAACCAAGAAACATTCATTTTCANTTAGGTTTACTAATTTAACTAAAGACCCTAAAAAATAACAAAAACACCCCCACCACCTGCAGTGTCAGATTCCGGCCACCACCGCCGGAATCTGGTCGGAAAATTTCGTTACGGCACAGACTTGTCGGATCTGTGCCGTAACACGTTGTTATGGCCTTTTCCGGCCAGATCCACCATGGATCTGGCCGGAAAAGGCCAGATCTACGGTCTGTTATGGCCGTCGACGGCCGGAAAAGGCCAAACGAGGGCCATCTTTGACCGAAAACGACGGCCATTTATTTGGCCGTCAGCTCTGGCCTTTTCCGGCCAGATCCGTGGTGGATCTGGCCGGAAAAGGCCACAGCGGTGAACTTCCGGCCATTTCTGGTCGGAAGTTAGGCCGTTGTACAGATTCCGGCTATCACCGACGGTGGTTGCCGGAATCTGACAAGTTGGGTTGATGGGGGTGTTTTTGTTAATTTTTAAACTTTTTTTTCAGGGGGTATTTAGTGAAATTAATAACCTTATGGGGTAATAGTAATTAAAAAATAGGGTAATATTTTTAGAAATATGTACCAACGCTATTTGGAAAATAGGATCCAGAATAGGGATAAAAATATTAAACCAAACGCATACGTTAATGTCTTTCAATAATTTAATGAGTAGAAAAATTGTTAATGTCTTTCAATAATTTAATTGAGTAGAAAAATTGAATCTTAAACTGTAATTTTTTCAACATCATCAACTATATTCTATAAGACCTACAATATCCAAATAAAATCAAGACCAAAACCAAATCCTAATTGGAAATCTTCTCATTTTTCACCCACACAATTCCATCTGTGTCATGATTTAGATTCATGTGGGTTTATAAACTTTGTCATCACTTCAACAATCCATCCATCTGTAACACTTCTCCAACTTTAGACAAGTCCTTCCCCTTTCAAATCTCCGTCGTCATCATGTCTCTCAACTCTAACACAGCTCACGTCATTGGTAAACTGCTTAATGGCCACCCTCTCATTTTTTCACGTGCACCATTGTATCTTTCATGCTCTCTCAAAAACACAACCAAGAAAAAATTCATTTTCAAGGCAACGTGTTTATCTTTCACCAAACACCCATTTGGCCAAAAGAGTGGAAGGAAACTTGTTAAGTATGCTTAAAGAAGAGCAAGAAAGTGAACAAACTTCCACTTTTCTCTGTTGCAGTGGCAGATGAAAAGCAGTGGAAACAATTTTTTTTTTTCTTTTTTTTTTTTTGGTGGGGGGGGGGGGTGTGTGTGGGTGGTGTTTTTTTTTTTTGGTGGGTTAGTGGGGGGGTGGGTTTTTTGGGGGGGTTGTTGGGGTGGGGGGCGGTTTGGGGGCCGGGGAGGGGGGGTGGGGGAAGGAATGGAGGCTAGTAAAGAAAGTGAAGACACTTGCGGAGCAGCAGAAATGGACTGGAAAACGGTGAGGATTTCAAGAAGGTCATGGGGAACCCTTCCATTGAAGCAGCCATAAAGCTGGAGAAGAAAAGGGCTGATAGGAAGCTAAAAGAACTTGATAGGGAGAATGGTGGCAACCCACTTGTGGGATTGTTCAATAGATTTGTTAGAGAAAATTTGAGTAAAGAGAAAGAGAGGCTGGAGAAGGCTGAGGAGACTTTTAAGGCTCTTGACCTCAACAAGGTGATTTATTTATTTATTGCTAAAGCATATTTTGATTCTGTCTGATTATGTCAAAAAGAAACTGGATTATGACATTTTCAGTCCTTTATAAACTCCAAGTTTGCATCAAAAGACTAAGATATAATCATTTGTACGATTTTGATATGGCAGTTGAAGAGCTGTTTCGGATTTGATACATTTTTTGCTACGGACGTTAGAAGGTTTGGAGATGGAGGTATTTTTATTGGAAATTTGAGGAAACCTATTGAAGAGGTCATTCCCAAACTGGAGAAAAAATTGTCTGAAGCAGCAGGAAGGGAGATTGTTGTATGGTTTATGGAGGAAAAGACAAATGACATCACAAAGCAGGTCCTTGATTATGGCTTGATGCTTTAGTTTTGCTAAATGATATGTTGTGTAGTTAGATTTTAGAATGCCATATAGTAAAGGTTCTTGCAGTTTATTATCAAAGTAATTAGATCATCCACCCAATACTCAGGCTATTAATTTTTGCTTGTTGAAGGAGTGATTTTACTTGACTTTGTGCTGAAATAACCTGCTTACTAATTAAATGTCTAATCATTGTTGTGCATATATAAATTATATATGATTCCCTTGCTATGTTTTCTTCTCTACATTCTAAATTAATTTTTTTTTTTTCTTTCTGAAAGAACATGTTTTAGTTCTTTATGACCCTACGATTCACAGTGTTTTGTTGTTCAAGGCTTGTGTGGTGCAACCAAAAGCAGAAATGGATCTCCAGTTTGAGTCAACTAAGCTGAGCACTCCTTGGGGTTATGTTAGCGCGATTGTTCTGTCTGTTGCAACTTTTGGGACTATAGCTTTAATGAGTGGCTTCTTCCTCAAACCTGATGCTACATTTGATGACTACCTAGCTAACGTTGTGCCTCTCTTTGGTGGCTTCATTTCCATTTTGGGAGTATCTGAGGTATGTTCTCTTGTGGTTGCTACCAAACTCATCCTTCATTTATCGGTATTCTATCATCTGGATTCAGAGTTATCTGGACATTTTAAAAATAGCATCTGCTTTCATTCTTGAATCAAGTGACTTTAACTGCAATTTTCTTTTTTGCTAATACATGGCTACTGTTTATTTTTTGGATAATTATTACTAAAACTGCATGGTTTGGCCATTAGGTCCTGTTGTTTGTCCGTTTGAAAATTGCATAGAAGTGTGATTCCTTTGTAGATTGTGGCAACATTTATGTCCAATATTACAGAAACTTTCTTGCAAAAACTGCCGCCTTCAAGTAAAATATACTGAAGGCTATATATTTTGTGTTTTGCAGATAGCCACAAGGGTCACAGCAGTTCATTATGGTGTTAAATTAAGCCCGTCTTTTCTTGTACCATCCAATTGGACAGGGTGCTTGGGGGTGATGAACAATTATGAGTCATTGCTTCCAAACAAGAAGGCTCTTTTTGACATTCCTGTGGCTCGTACAGCTAGTGCATATTTGACATCACTGGTACTTGCAATTGCTGCTTTTGTGTCTGATGGTGGCTTCAATGGTGGTGATAATGCATTGTAAGTTTTCTATGGCTGCCTTCAAGTAAAATTTTTCTGTTCTGAAAAGCCGAGAATGAGGAATGCAGAATTTGTTTGTTGGAATCAAATTTGTTCAGCTCTAGTTTCTGTTAGTATTAAAATTCCTAGATAATATCAATCACTATAAAAAACAGTTTGGAGTTACTGGAATTTACGCATTTGCAAGCAAGTGTTAATCAAAAGTGGATCAGCTCTCCAGCAACTTTGCCTATTCTGATTTTTGTTAGTGCAAGTATGGGTCAATCTTGGTTAAATCTTAGAGTTTGAGGCATGTTAATCTATCAGAGCGTGCAGTGTAGATAGAATCATGTTTATTAAATATATGATGTTACTCTAATAATATTTTAAGAAGTCACATGTACCCTATTTGATACATGCCAACTTAAGCTAGAAATTTCATCAATGCGTATAAAGTTTGTTGTGCCATTTGACTAATTCAACATTTTCCAAATTTTGGACATAAATGAATTCTATATACATTGTATGCTTACAATTAGTTTATTCTGTTATTTCTTTGCAGGTATATAAGACCTCAGTTTTTCTATAACAATCCCTTGCTTTCATTCATCCAATATGTTATTGGACCTTATACGGATGACCTTGGGAATGTATTGCCTTATGCAGTGGAAGGTGTCGGAGTTCCTTGTGATCCTCTTGCTTTTGCTGGACTTTTAGGTGAGTTTAATGGCCTCTTTATTCTAAGCTATTGACTTTACATTCTGTTTACATATGAATATGTATTTGCTGATCTTCTTGGCCTCATTGTTTGGACTGCCATTTTCTCTGCTGAATAAGTTTGAGCAGCCGTTTTGTGCAATTTTTGGCATTCCACATAATCAAACCCAGCAACACTCATCTGTACCGTGACCCTGACTTCTTCCTTCTGCAGGAATGGTTGTCACTTCATTGAACTTATTGCCATGTGGGAGACTTGAAGGAGGTCGCATTGCCCAAGCAATGTTCGGTAGAAGCACTGCTACTTTGTTATCATTTGCCACATCACTGTTGCTTGGCATCGGTGGTCTGAGTGGAAGTGTACTTTGTTTGGCATGGGGATTATTTGCAACCTTCTTCCGTGGTGGGGAAGAAATACCCGCAAAGGATGAGATCACCCCATTGGGAGACAACAGGTATGCTTGGGGCTTTGTCCTTGGCCTTATCTGTTTCCTGACTCTTTTCCCCAACGGAGGAGGGACATTCAACAGTTCATTTCTCAGTGATCCGTTTTTCCGGGGCGATTTGTAAATGTATGTATAGTTACTTATAGCATCGACTGTATACATATTTTGTTTACTCATATTAGTTGGTTAATGAAACATTTCCTATCAATCCCATAACTTTTCTCTTAGAAAAAAAAAAAAAAAAAGGGGCAGGAGATCAGGATCTTAGTTTCTGGTTACCACCCAGTTTGGGTGAAAAAATTGTGGAACAGCCAGATTTGTGTAACTACAAAAACAGACATCTGGGATAAGTCCCTTTTTTATATTTGCTGTTCAATCTCCATTGAGTGATAACAATTTTTTATCATTTTTCAATATGTACTGGTTATATGTCAATTTTAATGGGAGCTTTGCTGTCTACTTGTAATTATATTTATGCACTTCAAATTTGGACTGGTGTTACCAATTGAGTATGTTTGCAACAAGGAGCTTAAGAGAAAAAGCATTGTTCAAAGTTACGTCTAAGCGATATTAACTTATTTCCGTAGCCTTGTTCAAGATTTTATTGTCATTGGTAGTGCCTGCACTTGGCAAAATGTTGCTATTGTTCAGCATTATTCTTTCTTAGCTAGTCTAGTAACATTGCTGGTTTTTTACTGCAATACTGAAAGAAACATTGCCAAGTGCAAGATATTTTATTTTATTTTTTTTCAATTTTTTTTTAATGTTCTAGTGTTTATCTAGAATTTTCTAGATTTGTTTGGGCAATTTTGTCATTTTCTAGTCAAAATCATTTGATATTAGTATACCTATATGGTTTATTTCAAAATGCATTTTTATTGAAAAGAATTATATCCCTCAAAATTATTAAAAACCACTCTTAAAAATCCTTATAAATGATTAAAAAATCTTATTAGGATATCTAATACTTTTTAATATCTGCCTAGAAATAACTGAAACGTGGCTAAATCCGAGGGGAAGTAGTGTCTATCTAGTGTGTAACAAAACAGTACCGCTGCTTCTCTGTATCTTAGAAGCCAAGCAAACTTACTTTCTGTTTTACAAGTTGCTTCATTCTTCATTCTTCAATATTTTTCTTTCTTCATTCACCCTCAATCACCATCATCATGAAACTCAGAATTAGATCTCTTGAATCCAGAGAAACCCGGAGACTTGAAATCCCCTCCGATTGCACTCTCCAACAACTCAAACAAATTCTCTCACAATCCATCTCTTCATTTCCTTCTTCTCTTCATCTCTCTCTCAACAGAAAGGACGAGCTCATTGCTCCATCGCCTGAGGCGTCTGTCGAATCCCTCGGTCTCACGTCCGGGGACCTTATCTATTACTCTCTTAACCCCTCGGCTTTTGTTTCTCTACAAGAGACTGCCACTCCAGAACTACCTCAAACCCTAGTTCCATATCAACAGGAATCCAAACCCAAAGAGCATGCTATTGCTCAAGATAATGAAAACGAAAACCCACCTGCCCGATTGGACACACAAGAAAACCCAGTTGTAGAATCAATAGAAATTAAGGGAACCGGTTTAAATTCAGAAGAAACCATGTCGACAGATCATGATTTTTCTCTAGAAAATCAAGATATATCTGTTGATGAAACCCATAATGTTGAAGGGGCCCCACAATCGCAAGAATTTCCCATGGATATTGATGTGGATGGCAAGAGAACTTCCGAGCCATGTTTTTTAAGGAGAGTGCTGAGAGAAGAACCAGGTGATGGTGCAAGTGCTCACAAGCTCGTTGTCATTGCGGTTCATGCGATTTTGTTAGAGTCTGGCTTTGTTGGGCTTGATTTGGCGTCTGGTAAGAAAATTGACCGGTTGCGATTACCCAGTGAGTGGCCTTCAACAGCAGTTACAATGTCTCTTTGGTATACTCTTCCAGAAATTTTGAATAACAATGCTAATAATGTGATTGAATCTATTGTTTTGAAGTTTCAAAGCTTAGGACATTTTGTTAATGTTTATGGTTGTTTAGTTAGGGGTGATTCTGGGTTGCATAGGGTGTGCTTGAATGAATCTAAGTTTGCACCTATTATCGATTTAGTGTGGACTCAGAATGGTAAGTTGGATGGTAAAGATGAATCTAAGAATTCGTGCCCTGAAATGGAAGTTTTTGAATTTTGGAAGATGGTGAAGGATGGACTTGCTTTGCCATTATTGATAGACCTTTGCGAAAAGACTGGGCTAAGTCTTCCAGCATGTTTGATGCGTCTCCCAACGGAACTGAAGATTAAGATTTTGGAGTGTCTGCCTGGTGTTGATATTGCGAAGATGGGATGTGTATGTTCGGAAATTCGGTACTTGGCATCGAATAACGATTTATGGGAGAAAAAGTTTGTAGAGGAGTTTGGAGATCAACCATATGCACCTGGAATATGCAGCTGGAAAGGTAGGTTTGCTTGCTATTGGGATTCTAACAAGAAGAAACAGAGGGTGATTCCGCCATGGTATCCTTCCGTGGCAAGGCCTTTTCACATCCCGTTTATAAGAGATCCTTATCCACTTGGAATTCCTCCAATGATAGGTGGTGACCATGAGCGCTTGCCTTCTGGCATACCCTTTCCTTTTGGACAGCCCAGTGTCCCCAGCCACCCGCCTTTTTTACCTTTTGCTGGGAGGCGGAGTCCGCCTTTTTTTCGTTTTGCTGGGAGGCGGAGTTTTTCTCCAAATTGTAATTTGGGAGATACTTGAGGTATCTTTTGGTTTGCACTGAATGCCCAAATTTAATTATGTTGGAGGTGTCTTAAACAGATGTTATATATTGGATTTATTTTAGTAAAATTCTTGCTAGGTTTGCTAGTACAGTTAAGATGGTCGGAGTGTAAAAGAGGCTAAATGCCAGTAGCCTTTTTATGCTTACTTAATGGATAAACTGTTGGTTGCTACTGAGACTTTTCTGACAGAGAGTTGTTACCTCGGTTTTGGTAGAATCTGGTGCAAATTTGAGTTTACAGTTGTATAAATGGTAATTGTTCTTTGTTGCATTGCTAACATATTGCATTTTAGTTCAGGATGTTACAATTTCAGAAGTGAATCTGTGTGGACACTTCCATGTTAAAGCTAATGACAGATTGAATTTTGACACACTTCACAATATCTGCATGTTACCCTTCTTCTGGAGCTGTTGGGTTTTTTTAGGCTAAATAGATGGGGAAGTGTGTGTTGGATAAATAAGAGTCACGGCATGTCAGTTAGATTGGATGATTTATGGTCATACTTTTGGTTTTATAATGTTCTTTTAATCCAAGTCTACTGGGGTTTTGATAATTCATAGTGTTAGCACATGTTGGTAGGCTTTTTATTTACATCACTTGTATGTTGATAAAGTTTCTAATAAAATTTCCATGTCCATTGCTAGTCCACTCCAATCCACTACCCCTACCCCTACCCCTACCCCGAGAAAGAAAAAGAGAAAGATACACAGCAAAAATAAATAAATAAATAAATAAAGTTCGAGACAATTGAATTTCATTTTTGTTTGTGAAGCTCACTTAAGGAGTGTTGATTAACCGTTCCTTCGGTCTTTTCTTTTGTGGGAATGTGGTTGGATGTATTGCTCACTAGAGTGTCTCTCTTCAAATTAACTAAATGGGGGAAGGGCCATGATCTTGAAGTAACTGGAATATCAGTGAATTTTCATGTTTGCTGCATGCTAAACATGAAAATTCACAAACAAAAATGAAATTCATAAAATCAAGCAAGGATTCGTAAGGAGAATACCTCTCTTGTTCTTTGATTCCAAGATGACCTTTCTCTTGTTATACCAGACTGCCATGCTTAGGGCTAGTGTTTATATTACAGAATTATAACTTCTGCCAGAGCTTTACGAGCTTACCCTGTTTTCTGTCTTCTCTTGTTTAGTAATCCTCTGACTAACATTTTTACAGCATATTTGTGGCAAAAAAATCAGATTTTTTCTTTTCACATAATGTTGGTTTTTAGACCTTTTGTCCCTAGATAGTATCCATATCTGCCTGTGGCATTAGTTCTCTAATAATTTTGAGATTGTGTCCAAACTTGATACTTAACTGTATATTGTGCTGCAATTTTATACCATTACATTTCTTATGATATTTACTAGGTGAGGAAGTGTGTGATTGAGTACTTGCAGATTTGCTAAATGAGGGGGCAACAAGTTGTAGGTATTATTTAATGCCACAGATTTTTGCTTTTGCTGTGATCCTAATCTATTTACCTGGCTTGGTAAAAGCTTAGTTTCTTAGGACTCTTGGTACATAGTAAATCAAAGTGGATGTTGAGCTTGTTAGTTCCCTATGATGTGTAAGATTTCACCTCCCAGTGGCTTTACACATTGATAAAAACCATATATGATAATAGTTAAATTAACAAATAAATAACCGAGGTTCTCAAATTGTAACTTCCGGTTGATCCTGCTGAATACATCATGGTATTGAGTTATGTTTTCACTGGGAAGCACTAACCTTTCTGTCACAAAATCCTGTGTCAGTAGTATGTTTGATGTCATCTGCTATTGATATTAGGTATGTCGAAATTTAAGAGCAAGAGGGAGGAAATTTTGTGATCAGTGTTTGAGAAATGCCTACTCAATATTCTTCAACAGTGGCACCTTTTCTTTCCAAGTTTTCGGATAAATTGTTTCTTGCAACTAAGGTGGGATGAAGTGATGTGGATGCATTATTTGCTTCACAACCAGTGTTTTGGAATTCTTTCTGTTCTAGTCAGTGAACAAACATATCCCATCTTACTAGCCACGCATCTTAACTTGTGAAAAATGGGCTGCAAAATTATACAGAGAAATCAACCTTATGTTCAAATAAGGGAAGATTTTACATTTTTACATCATCATTGCAGCTAAAATTTGCTGATTATGTTTTGTATATGATTACTTTTAAATGACATTTATTCCCTGTAAACGTTGTAACTTTGCATTATGAATTCTACTGCAATATATGACCATGCAGATTATAAACATATTAACTTTATTTTGAGATAAACTATATGAGTAAAATGGAGGGGAAACAAGCAGTTGATGTTATTTATTTAGTATATTATAACCATCAACTGTAAACAAATCAACAGCGTAGATATCCCTTTTTAACTGCACGCATCATTTGGGTTGGGCCATGCTTTTACTGGGAAATTAGGAATAATATGCCTGCACAAATTCAAGGTCACTGTCAGGGTAACTGGCAGGAAATTTTCAATCAAGGTGGGTCACACTTTTTAATTGAATATTCTTCCATTCCATGGACTTACTCCTCTTCTAAGGTTTGCTTTAGCCTTTAAGTTCAACCCTTCTTGTTCATTTTGTCAAAGACAAAATAATGGTCTTTCCTTCTTTTCCAAATTTTATCCCACTTGTTCTTTTTTATTCATTCTAGTAACAGTGTTTTCTTGGACTAATCAGAGTTCTAGATCATAACGAAAGCTCGGATTCTGCAAAAAAACAAAAAGACCTGATAATCCGAAAACGCTTGTACCCTGAAGAAGATTTTCTCAAACATCGAAGCCAAAATGTATGACTCTGACCCAATACAACAGCAAGACCTTTTTTCTTCTGATACCGACGACTGTGAAGCTTTGTCATCAGATGATGAAGCCTCATCATCAACCTCGGAAGTTGATGATTTTGTACTTGTTAGTTCACCACCCAAGTTACCTCCCGCTATGTCTTCCACCATGTCTTTTATGAAAAAGGTTTACAAGGAAGAAGTGGGCAATCTAGCAGATGATTTCAAACTTTTGACTGTAGGCATTCATGCCATAATGTTACAGTCTGGATTTGTTTGTTTTGATCCTGATTCAGGAAACAAGATCGATGGGTTTCGACTTCCGAATAATTGGGATAATAAGTATTCTTCCACCAGGTATTTATGTTACACTGTCCCTGAACTTTTGGATCTTGGTTTTATTGCAGTAGAGAGAGTTGTTTTGAGGTTTCAAAACACAGAGGACTGTGTTAATATACATGGTTCTTTATCTGACAAAGAATCTGTGGAGCATCATCTAATTCTAAATCTAAACCGATTTGTTATCCCTTTAGATTTGGCTTTTGTGAACTGTGATATGATCGAGGCAAGGATTAAAATCCATGGTTCTTCTTCTGATCAATATCCTGAAAATGAAATTTTTGAGTTTCATAAACTTGTGAATGATGCCCTTGTGTATCCTCTCTTAATTGATCTCCATGAGAGGGCCGGTTTGGTTCTTCCACCTTGCTTCATGCGTTTACCTGTCGAAATTAAATTCAAGATTGTGGAGTTACTTGATGGAGTTGATATTGCAAGGTTGGCCTGTGTTTGTTCAGAACTGAGGAATTTGACTTCTGATGATGATTTGTGGAAACGAAAGTTTATAAAAGATTTTAGGATTTTTCAACCAATAGTTGTACCACCATTGATGGGGTGTTGGAAAAAATTTTATGCTTCTACTTGGAAGGTGTCCATTCATCGATCTGGATTCAGCAGGAATCTATTGAGGCGCTCTTAGCCAAGAATGCCTTCGTTCTTCCTTAATCCAGAGGAATTGTGTTAGTAGCTTCATCCGGATTCAAGATTAATTAGTTTGGTTTGTAAATTTCTTAATGTAATAAATGTAGGGATCCAGACCTCCGATCATGTTTCGATAGTAATTGACATTCCAGCACTTTATTTATGCTAGTTAACTAGTAACAAATTTTGGAGTTTGATCCCCTTCATCAGCAGATAAAGATTATTGTTTTCTATTTTAAAAAATTGCAGGGTTTGGCGAGGAGCTCCAATTTCAAGGCATTGGAGATTTCTGGAATCCGTCTTTTGTTAGAATTTAGACTGCTTGTAACTTCTCCCTTAATTACTTATTTCATAATCTACACTCTAAAATGTGTTTGGTAAACTAATTTCAAAAAGTGATTATGTTATAAGTTGATTGTGAAATAATCTATTTTTATAAGAGGATTCCAAAAATAGTTTTTGTTATTTTTTTTATTTTAAAAGCTGATTTGAGTGTTTAATTAAAAAAAGAAGTGGTACAGTTTAAAACGAGCAGAATTCCGGTGACTTGGGGCCATGGGAGTAACCATTTATTTTTTTATTATATATTTTTTCTGTTTTCTAATTGTTTTTATTTTTTATCTTCATCAATTAATAAGATTTTGAATAAATTTATTTTCACGTCTCTTTTCAGTTAAAACAATGAAACACTACTAAAGTTTTCACAAATAGTAGGGGGTCTAGAGCTACTAGAGGGGGTTTATTAGATTTAGACTATACCTTAGAGGGTTTAGAGTAATTTTCTCTTATTTAAAACAGTGGTTCAGTCGGGAAATATCATAGGGATTTTGTCTTAGACATTCTATGTTAAATGCAATGTTTTAAAACCTGATCTGACTTGTTGATTTAATCAGTTTGACCAAGAACGGCCACTGAGTCAGGCTGGGCCAGCCTTAAATCGGGGTGTGAGTTCACTGAGTATGACCCGCGATTGGACTAAGGTTTTATAGCAAACCGTCGGTCCAATCATTTTGGGGGAAAACCAGTGAATCAAAATTCAGATCACGACGACTTTTGGCTGATGTTTGACAAGCAAACATGAATCGGGTTAAGGGGTTTTGAAGGGTGGATCATGGTGAGTCGGAAGGTGGTGTCCGATTAAGTTTTAGTCGTCGAATCATTAATTTGGCCAAGAAACAGCAAAACCCTAACTTCTAATTACGTCGATTGGTGGTGGCAATGGCTTGGGACTTTGGGGTTTTGTAGGGGAGTAGCCAGTGAGTTTAAGGTGGTGGTGGTTGGAGTTTTCGTCGCTCGAAACCACCAAAGTCAACAAATAAAAGTCGACTGAGCTATTGCTATGGTCGACGACAGCGAGTGATAGGAGGGCAGGGGATGAAGGGTATATTTTGAGAGGAACAGTGGGGATTCCAGTGTGGGTGACAGGTTGATTTTGGGTGAGAAAACAACTGAAAAAGGGGGAAAAAAAGGCTAGCATCGACGCGTGCTAGTGCGGCGAAAACAATCACCATGCTAACATGTGCTGATATAAAAATTTTGAATTTTTTTTATGTGACACATCACTGGTTTGACCCATTGGTCAAACTGGTTAAACCGTCAACCCGAGACCCGAACACTTTGCCGGTTTAGCTCCAAGTTGATATTAAAACATTGGTAAAATGTATAGTTAGTGTTTTTGTATGGAATTAGAGAATCCAAGAGTCAGGGAATAAATTTTTCATTATACTTCTTATTCTCTTTCATAAATAAAAATATCAGCTTCGAATAAGAATCTTTATACAAAATTACAAATAGATAAGTTATTCAAAACAAACTAATGATATTTGAAAACGTTTTACTTAATCTTTTAACAACCAACCCAGGATGAAACCCAACAAAGTTGTCGAGTCTTGGGTTGACCGGTTCAGTCGATTTGACCAGTCAGTCAAACTGGGTTTTAAAAGTTTAAAAATCACAAATAGACCCCTAAATATTGTTAAGTCCATACATTTATTGAAATTTAGCAAACACACACCCAATAAAATTGACGATCGGTTGGTTGGCGGCAACGACACACAAAATGCAATCTCAATCATCCCCTGAGCCATTCCCAAAAAAAGCTACCCAAGATCTGGCCAACATCGGTTCGATTTTGGTTAGATCTCATCACTGCCGATGTCGACAACCCTCCCTGTCACCACAAAAATACTTCATCCTCAAAACCCACTCACCCCACTGTCATTCACCTCACCAATCACTACCAAAAGCTGCTATTGCCACAATGAGTTTTTTTACTTTCGGTCGATTCCCTTACCGGAAATCACCCTCCTGTCGCCACTATTGCTTTCATCGACCCTTCCTCTTAAAAAGCCCTAACATCTCGACTTCAATTGTCGTTAATCATCGCCCCAATTTCTAGGATTTTGGTAAACAGGAAATTGATAACCTGACCCAGTGAGGTCTTGGGTTGGTGAGTCTAGTTCAATTGGCTAGGCTGGCCGGATTTTAAAATACAATAATGCTACGACACCGGGATTTTTGCACCGAAATATTGTACTGCCTATGTGAACACTCTCTAATTTCTTTAACAATTTTTTTCTAGTGAACGCCGTTCACTCACATGGACGTGTTCCCCATTTAATGGACGCTCGTTCATAAGTAAAATGGAATAAATTTTTTTTTATAAAAATTAGGGACGGCGTTCATCCGTTATGGACGCCGTCCGCAAATAAGGGATGCTCGTCCTTAGCCAAAATATGAAAAAAAAAAAATTTTGGGGACGGCCGTCCATAAATTTTGGACGGTCGTCCCTTACGTTTGAATGGGCGGCCTACTTAAAAAAAAAAAAAAAAAAAAAAAAAAAACACAACCTTCTTGTTCTTCTTCTTCTTCTTCGCCAAGCCAAAACACCACAGCAACATCTCTCACACATAGCTCATTGATCTCCATTGATATCCAGTTGATCCTTACGCTAGAATCTGGGAAGCAGCAACAGGAGAATTTGGATTAACAACAGTCTCAAATGAAGCATCCTCCATTAAAGTAACTACCCACCAGACAATCCTCCACCATTGGTGCTACAAATGCTATTATTTCTTCAAGTACTTTGATAGGGATAAATATAATCACAAAACTTCCTGAAAAGCTGACTCCCTTCTTCATGGCGACCTACTTCTCTGAATAATCCAGCTCGGCCACAGTAACACCTCAAATCCATTTTGCAGCAATCCTAATCCTCCCACTGATTACAGCATAAACAAAACAAAAATAACCTTTAATCATAATCACTTGGTTTGAAGGCTTCTAAGCACTTGAAGGAGATGGCAATGGCGTAGGAGTGGTATCACTAGGAATGGCACAGGCTAGCACAAGTGCTTCTCAAGAAAATGCCCCAAATGGGTTAAGAAAGACAAAAGGAGATTGCTCCATGTTGTTTATCGTGTTGGAGATTTGGATAAGAGGATAAAGTATTCAGTTTTTATTTAACTTCAACGGCAATGTTAATGTTATAAATAAGTTTCTCTTTGAAACAATATTATTGTAATAATCTTGGAAGGATATTAATGTATTTGGTGACTTTAGATTCTATACTGAGTGCTTGGGGATGAAGTTGCTGCGGAAACGGGACATACCGGAGGAGAGATATACAAATGCCTTTCTTGGTTACGGACCAGAAGATTCTCACTTTGTTATTGAACTCACTTACAGTAAACTCTCTGCCTGCTCCTCTGTTTTGTTAAGCTTTGCTAAACTCTGAAACAGCTGAACTTCCGATGAACCTTCTGTAGAATACTGAGATGTTAAATAATTTCTGTACATGACTTTAATGGAGGATGCTTCATTTGAGACTGTTGTTAATCCAAATTCTCCTGTTGCTATGGTTTTTGGCTTGGCGAATAAGAAGAAGAAGAAGAGCGAAGAAGGTGTTTTTTTTTTTTTAAAAAGTATGGACGGGCGTCCATTAGGGACGGGCGTCCATTCCTAATGGACACCCGTCCAAACTTAAGGGACGCTTAATGGATGCCCGTCCAAACATAAGGGACGGCCATCCAAAATTTATGGACGACTGTTCCCAAATTTTTTTATTTTTATATTTTGGTTAAGGACGGGTGTCCCTTATTTGCGGATGCCCGTTCAAAATGAAGGGACGGCCGTCCATAACGGATGAACAACCGTCCCTAATTTTTATAAAAAAAATTTATTCCATTTTACTTATGGACGGGCGTCCATTAAATGGGGACGCCCGTCCCTAGTATATGGACCCCTGTCCATATAATATGGATGGGCGTCCATGTGAGTGAACGGCTGTTTAAATTTGATGGATGTCCGTTCACTAGAAAAAAAATTGTTAAAGAAATCAGAGGCGTGTTATACGTAGGCCGGTACAATATTTCGGTGCAAACATCCCGGTGTCCGTAGCATTATTGTTTAAAATGATGGTTTTACTAGTTATATATGTGATAGATTTCATATTTTATTATTTTTAGAATATTATTTTTATACAAACATATTAAATATATTTTCATTTTCACATTTTCTAAACCTGTAAAAAATAACACATCGGCAATTTTCCCATAAATTTACTCAATGGTTTTCAAAGCTTAAAAAAAAAAAAAAAAAAAATGTCCATGAGCGACGTGGCACTTATGAAGTCTCTATTGAATTTTCCGTCATCCCACCTCACCCACCACCACACATGACTGATGACTGAAACTTTTTGGCCGTCTCAACCTAACATAACCCACCGCAATTTCTTTCAATAACCACCACGTGCGATCCATGTCTGACGCCCTAAAATCGCCTGAAATCGAAACTCACCGCCATGTCATTCGCAGTCACTCTATCATCTCCCTCTCTCTTACCACTTCCCCAACAAAAATCTCCCTTTCGTAATTATCCCAAATTCCTCACATTTCGAACCCTAAATCCTCTCCAAGCTTCTAGAAGAATCCCTAATTTCCCCGAGGTTCCTTTTCTCTCCGGTTCTATCTTGTTAACATTTCTTACTCTACGCTTCGTAACTAACTTCTCCTGCAGGGAAGTGAGAGTCTTGTGGATGATCCTCGCAATTGGGGCCGTAGGATCAGTCAACAGTTTAATGAAGATTATGGTGATGACGATGATGAGGAGGATGAGGAAGAGGAGGAAGATAGGAGTTTGGATCTGTTAGTTAGGTTTGTTGAGAACGTGTTCAAGAAGGTTTCTAGAAGAGCTAGAAAGGCAGTACGCTCCGTTTTGCCAGTCTCGATCTCGACCAAGCTGGTAAGAAACATTCGTTTGAGTAATTTTTTGATGGTTTTGTTCGGTGATTATATTGTAATGAATTCTTATTATTGAAATTTAGGTTGGGTTTTCTGTTAATGGAGTTCTTATTCTTGCGTTTTTGTGGGTTTTGAAGGCATTTCTTGAGGTAATGCTGATCTATAACTTCTTAACATGTGTGCACATGATTATTAAATTCATTCGCATAATGTCATTCTTGTTATCGTTTTCTTGGGAATTTAAATTCATTGAAATCGTGATTATTAGCTAAGACGGAAATGCTGTGTTTGTGCAATACAAATATATAGTAACATTACAAGAACAATGTGCTTCTTAAACCACATACGTGAGGCGTCATTCTGGTTAAGTAAGGTATTTTAAGTACACTATTGCACTTTGTAAAATGATATCTAATGTGATCAGTATTTAGTAATAGTATAAATTTTTTCATATTTCTATGTTTATTTGGCGTGAACATAAGATAGAAAGAAATGTGTACTTGCAAGTAATAGAACTTCTTGATTATAGTACACTTCCTACCATTGAGTTTGAAGATGGTTTATTCATAGAAGTAGAATCATAGTGAGACAACATGGGGTCAGGCAGTTCTAGGGCAAGTCAACATATGAACTGATGGTTCATAGGATGATTACAAGCTCAAATTACTGAATAAATATGATATTTAATAACCCCAATTCTATTGCAATTTCACATTTCTTTCTATTTTATTGTTTTTTGGGGTCGATATGTTTCGTTTTGTTAGTATAATTCTGTATAATGATGGACTCAAACTAAATTTGGAAGAAAATTTGTTGTTTTGTCTTATTTAAGTGTGTTGATTAAGCAGTGGTATAGCAATTTCAATTATTTATTCCATTTTGAGCCCAATTTTGGGTTTTTGTTTTTGTTTGTTTCTTTTTGGGGTAAAGGGTTACAGAATGGCAAATTTTTTATTGTTGTAACCTTGCCAATTCGGATCCTTCTTTCTGTTAAGCTTGATTTTCCTCCTGTTTATTCTGTTAACTGTCATGTACTCAATTGGTTTTTTGCAATAACTGAAGGTTTATAATTTCCCCCCTTCCCCTCTATCTGAATGTTCTGTTATTCAGAAAAGGAGTATTATTACTAAGAGAGTAAGAGGACACTTATTTCCTGAAAGATTAAAAAAGATGCCAAGTTTCAAAAGCGAGCCCAAAGGTTGCACGTAACAGTGGGTAGACATTAAACTTAACTGACCTAAGGGCATGAATGTCTTTTCTGAAGGTAGTCATTAGAGTCTGATTTGATCCTTGCAAAGCTTCCAATGATTTTGTTTACAAAAGTTTCAGGATCCTTCAGGAAATTTTGAACCAAACACTTTTTCAAGTAGATAAACCTTAAGTTATTTGGAAATATGGAAGGAAAACTGTAGTTTCCAAAAGTTTTTTCTTCTTAGGAGCTTCTCACTCTGAAATCAAACTTTATTGTTGTTCACAACTAGCAAAAATATTCTCCTCTTCTGAATCCTCTAAAAACTGGTCATTTAATTTGTCATGGTTTTCAGTATAATGTGCCTCTTAATTATCATTGCTTTTAATTAAGCTAATTGATTTTCTTCCAAAAATAGAATGAAGCTTCTTATCATAAACAATCTTTGCTTCCTTACCTGGTGGATAAGGTTATCCACATTAACATATGTACTTGTAATGTCAGTAACACCATACGGAGAGATTTGTTACTTGGTATTGTTTACGAATTGATTGAAAAATCCCAATGAGAGGTTTTGATCCCCAACCAACAAAATCCATTTTCTTTTATCTAACCTTTTCATTGTATTTAAAGTGACAGATTTCTTCAACAGTAGAATAGAGTTTGACCTGACCTTCCTTTTCATTTTATAACTGAAGGGTTCAATATAATGTGGTGACTGGTGAAAAGAAGAAAAGGTGACAATGCAGCTTTATAAAAGACTGATTTTTGACCATTGTATTCCAACAGTAAAAAAATAATTGGGGCTTGTTTGGTGAATTCATTTGGATATTTTGTGCTTTGTGTAGGATAATTTCGTTAAGGGACTTTTTTTAATGCTGACTCATATTCTACTCATTGTTAAGTGTCAAGTGTGGCTTTTGTGTCTACTCTTGAAACTTTGTTTCCTTTTTCAATCTTTTGAAGGAAAAAGTGTCCTAGTTGTGATAATATACCTTTAGAAATCATCTGAGTTTTCATGCTGACTAAGTCGTGAGTTTGCACATCAAATAGGTATTTTGAGTCATGTACTGCCAAGTTATCATTTCTGATATTGCAGTGGCCTCTAGTGCCTTTTGCAAAAATAAAAAAAGGACCATTCTGAGAGTGAGTTCTTGCTTCTATTGTGTGTATTTTTGTAGGCTGGAGGTAATGGTAGTGAAAAGCACGGTCTTCTTTGTCTTGAGTGATAGGGTGGCATCTAACTAGTTGAGATTAGTCCAGTCTTTAATGTTTTGGATTTGTTTCCTTTTTATGGATTCGATGGTGTTCCGTCTTCCATCCAAGCTCAAATTTAGCGGCTGTCAGTTGCAAAGGCTGATGTTATTGAAGAAGTGTTAGATGTTAAGAAAATTCGATCTAGACGAGGCAACCCATATAGACGATTCTTGGTAAAGTGGCTTGGTAAACCAGCAAGTGAAAGCTCATGGATTTTTTAAGAAGAGCTGAAACAAGTTGATCCAGCCGTATTTGAGGAATATGTCAAGGCTTACTCGTTCGAGCCGAGTTCTTTTCTAACCCGGGGAGAATGATGCGGAAGCATCCAAGTTAAATTAGGATTTCAGTTAAATTAGGAAAGGGTTTCAGTTATTTTGTCAGTTTTCCTTTTTTATTTAGGATTCCTATTTAATAAGAATTTGGGAATAATTTTCAGTCTAGAATTAGGATTTGTCCTAACTAGTATAAATAAGACAACATAGTCAGTTTATTGTATCTTTTCTTTAATTTAGAATTTTAATTCAAAGGTTTTCTTTAAACCTAGTTATTTTCTATTGTTCCAACCACAATCACCCTATTCTAGCCCTAATTGTTGAAGATCTAATTGCCCTACAACTCTTCCGCTACATCAGATTGTGTTATGCCATTCCAAGTTAAGAAATGTCGAACTTTTGATCATGTGTTGCACGTCTTCTACGAAAACCTATTTTAAAAACTTATCCATTTGTTCAAGTTGCTAGAATTTGTTTTTGCACTTCATGTCTCAACTATACTTCTCAATCTATGCAGAACCCTAGTTGGAAAAGGAAGTGAAATATGTGTATGAAGCAAGAGATTTTAACTGGGTATGCTGTAACTCTGTTTTTGCAATTGATCATGGTGTCACAGCGTTTGATAATAAAGTAAGCAATATGTATGCCCTTTGTGGAAAGCTTAGGGAAAAGGAAAGGAAAAAAGGTATAAGAGGTCCTTGTTGACTGCTTATATTCATCTGTATTTGAATGTAATCAGTTTGACGGTTTGACTTGTTTTGCTATCATAGTTAAGAGGATGTCAATTATGCTTACTTAGGCATTAAGCACCGGCCTTGATTCATGTGTTTGCATAATATTAGCAGTCAAAATTGGCAAGCACTTAGTGTGAATTGAGCACTTCATTATTTTCTCAGCCCTATCTATAAACATGCATATCTTGAGTTTGTGGTGCAGATGAATGCTACTTGCTTTTTCATATATGAGAGACTATGTTGTTTTAAATGGAAGTTTATTACTTCTTGAGATGCTAAAGTTAACTGAGAAGCCAGTTAGTTCCTTGCAAAGTTTGCTGCTCATTTCTGTACTTATCTTTTTATACTGAATCTAGGTGGTTTGCACCCTTGGAAGTGTGGTCTTTGTGAGCATATTACTCATACGTGGTGTTTGGACTGGGATAGCCTATTTACAAGAAAGCCGCAGTCATCGTGTGGATGACGATAATCGCGCATGGACTGGTGCTCAGCCTGCAAGTTGATACGTCCATTTACATAATTAATTGTTTGAAAAATAGTCCCAAACATAAATAATACCAACCTTAGCTAGAGGAACACTCAGAAAGCTTTCCATCTTTGAAAAAAATTTATTGTTGTAATTGAAAATAATGTAGGAATACAAGGATGACTTCCTGTGTGAAGATTCTGAACAAGCTATCTTCTTTAATATTGATATAGAACTGTTTAGTAAAAGCAAGGAAAAGATATAATCAGTATGCACAAAGACAGAAATCCGCCCTATGTATTCACAATTTCACACATCAGGTATAACATATGTATTGTTAATTACGAATTTTGACAAGGTTCCTGAATTGCTGTATTTTTATTTTTTTACCTAGTTTTTATTAACCTGAAAAGAGCAGCAAATGCATATCACGATTCACGAGTAGCCTTCCTGGTTTTGCTTTGTCTTGTGCGTCATTTCTGTTCCTTTATTATCATTTTGTGCCGGAACATCCCATGGGAATCAAATACTTCCTTCTGTCTTATATTGCTCTTGACTGTAAAAGTTTTCTGTAGAATACTCGATTACTGCTTAAAATGGTTATTTCATTTCTCTGTCATATGTGAGAAAACATCCTATGGAACTCAGGATGCTTTTCTGTCTTAGATAGTTCTTTACTGTAGAAATCTGTGCTACAAGATTGGTTTACTTGTGAAAATGGTGATTGTCAAAAATTAAGGGATTACAAACCAGTCAGGGAAGCTTCAAGGGGTAAATACAATTGCCCCTATTGATTTAATTTTCTGCAACTTGGAGTCGGAGTTGAATAAAATTCGTGAGGGACACGATAAGGGGTGGTGTTTATAAGTTCTAATACAAATTTCATATCGGAAATGACAAAAAAAAAAAAAAAAATCATATAATTAAAAGCTGATATCATGAAAGACCTATAATAAATTACCCCTCACGTAATTAAAAAACTGATATGGAAAGTCTTATAATATATTACCCCTCACGTAATTGAGTGGTTTGATAGAGATTTTTGGGTGTATTATTTAAGAGATCTTGAGTTCGAGTCTCTCTTCGGTTGCTAATAAGGGTAATCACTGAAACTTTTATCCGATTAGTAGTTTTAGGGTCTTAGAGTTATTATCTGGTCTGTAGTTTCAGAGTTTTGGAGTTCTTATTCGGTCGGTAATTTGTTGCTAATAAAGTAGCTACTGGAGCTCTTACTCGATCAATAGTTTCAAGGACTCGGAGAATTAGTTGAGTTGCTAATATGAGTGACCTACAATAAATTCGTAATGTTATATATCCTAAATTTATTAATATTTGTGATTTTTATATGAATTATGTGTTTACATTAATATCGTGTATGTGTGTATATATACAGTAAAACCTTTCTATCGTGATATTTTATATAAGAATAAACTTTACATAGTCATAAAAAATTATATTTCCAATTTAAGATAGTTATAAATAAGAATAAACTTCACATTATAATAAGATATAATTTTTTTAATTTCCATCTTAAGAAAAGTTGTCTCTACATAGTAATAATTATCTGTATATTGAAAAAAAAAATGTTACCTTACATTAAAGGTTTAAGATGAAATAAAATATTTATTTAAAGTTGTTTGGAAGAATGATTTATGTTTTAGAGTTGTTACCACATCTTTTAACTCGTGGGTACATTACTCATTAGCATGAACATCTTTTTGTTGAAACCAAAATATTTCTAGCTTCTCAAGTATGTTTAGAGTTTAATAGCACGGAACTTTTTGTATTTCCCTATAATCATCCTCATGATTATTTCCTTTATCTTCTTATTTAATTGTAACAGTGATTTCTTTTTCAGTTAAAGTATACATGACTTGTTGCTCATTTGGATGATTGAGGAAGACATTAATATCAATTCGATTAATGTAGTGAAGTTGTCGAATTTGATAACTCAATTCTACAATGATTCTTTGATTCTCCTTATCTGCTTCATTTGTAACTTACAATTAATTGACATCGGGGTCCTAATTTTGTAATATTTAAAAGTTAAATCAATTGACAATTATCTATGGATTCACATTAATTTAATTTTATAATGCTTAAAAGTTAAATCAATTGACAATTGTCTATGGATTCACATTAATTTGAACATGCAGCAATTGCATTTACAATTCCATCCGTGACACTTATCTTTGTTAGTTCCAAGATAGAATCTTTTATCCGTTTCAAAAGTAGACAATTGAAGCGCAGAAATTGAAATCTTAATACTGTTAAAACATTAATTGAAATCATAATACTATACTACAAAAACATGAATTATGAAATAATAAATTTTTGTAACTACGCCTCTATTAAGTTATAACCTCTTCATAATAATAAAATTAATTAGCCATACCATTATGACTATAGAGAAGTTTTACTGTATATATAACTCTAAATTAATAATATAAGAAATTTCTCAATTCATAAAAATACAAAAACACTATAAACTAAAAGAGAGAAATATACACAAAACTCCCCCAAAGTTTATGTTTTTTATCTGAGAACCTACAAGTTTCAAACAATACAATGACACCCTTGCTTCAACTCCAGTGCAGGAATATCTATAACAGTAAACCCATGAGGGGGATCAATACCCCTCTTACGGTCTTACCAAACAGGCCAACCTCAACCACTCGTAATCACGACAGGCCCAGCCTAGCGGCAAAATTTAAAATTCAAAAAAATAAAAAAATGGAAAACCTAACCACGGTTACAAAAGTAGTTACAAAGGCCCAATCATATAGCGCCAGCTCACCAATAATTGCCGTCCCTTAACTAAACCCCAATTCATCCACCCAAGTATCTCTTCTCTCCTGTTATAAATATCCTTCTCAAATCCCTCTTCGGTGCTATCCTCTCTTCAAACATTTTCAGTAGAAGGCGTCTTAATAAACGCCTTCGTCTTAATTTACTTTCGTTTCTTCTTCTTTCAAATCTCTCAAACGGTTTCGTTTTCTTCTCAATTAGCGAAAATGAGAGAGTGCATTTCAATCCACATTGGTCAGGCCGGTATCCAGGTCGGTAATGCCTGCTGGGAACTATACTGCCTCGAGCACGGTATCCAGGTCCGTATTTTTATACGTATAAATCTCCGTATATACTCCATTTCGTTTAATTCTATCCAGATCTATGGTCTTTCTTTGATCCTGGAATCGGATCTGATCAAATCGGCGTCGTTTGACAGTATAATAGTCGATCTATGATTTAAGTGTGTGTTTATGTTAGATCTGATTTTATTTCGTTAACATTAGGTGACTTTTGGTCAGATCTGTGAAAAGTGTTATATGTGATTGAGAGTATAATTGAGGGATGGCTATGTACTCTAATTGAAACCCTAGATCTGTAGTTTTCTTGAAAATGCTCGGGATCTGAAGTGTTGAGTTTGTGTTTTTGAACAGCCTGATGGCCAAATGCCAAGTGATAAGACTGTCGGAGGAGGTGATGATGCTTTCAACACCTTTTTCAGTGAAACTGGTGCAGGGAAGCACGTGCCTCGTGCCGTCTTTGTTGATCTTGAGCCCACTGTCATTGATGAAGTGAGGACTGGTACTTACCGCCAGCTCTTCCACCCCGAACAGCTCATCAGCGGCAAGGAAGATGCCGCCAACAACTTTGCCCGTGGCCACTACACAAGTAATTACTTCTTAACCCTTTTTTTCCAATAAATTATTTTGTTTATTAACGTTATGCGGAATTGTTAATGTTATGAATTGTTTTGTTGCAGTTGGTAAGGAGATTGTTGATCTCTGCTTGGACCGCATCAGGAAGCTGGCTGATAACTGCACTGGTCTTCAGGGCTTCCTTGTGTTCAACGCCGTTGGTGGAGGAACTGGTTCCGGTCTTGGTTCCCTTCTTTTGGAGCGTTTGTCAGTTGACTATGGAAAGAAGTCCAAGTTGGGTTTCACTGTTTACCCATCTCCTCAGGTGTCCACATCCGTCGTTGAGCCTTACAACAGTGTTCTCTCAACTCACTCTCTGTTGGAGCACACTGATGTGGCTGTTCTTCTTGACAATGAGGCCATCTATGATATCTGCAGGCGCTCCCTTGACATTGAGCGCCCAACTTACACCAACCTTAACCGTCTTGTCTCTCAGGTAACATGTCTAGCTTTTAATAATGGTCATGTTGGTGGGTTTGGCTTCTCTAACAGTGGTTAATTTTGGTGTTTCAGGTGATTTCTTCCTTGACTGCCTCTCTGAGGTTTGATGGTGCTTTGAATGTGGATGTTACTGAGTTCCAGACCAACTTGGTCCCTTACCCAAGAATCCACTTTATGCTTTCCTCTTATGCCCCTGTCATCTCTGCCGAGAAGGCCTACCATGAACAACTCTCAGTTGCTGAAATCACCAATAGTGCATTTGAGCCCTCGTCTATGATGGCCAAGTGTGACCCTCGCCATGGCAAGTATATGGCTTGCTGCCTCATGTACCGTGGTGATGTTGTGCCCAAGGATGTCAATGCCGCTGTTGCTACCATCAAGACCAAGCGTACCATTCAGTTTGTTGACTGGTGCCCAACTGGATTCAAGTGTGGTATCAACTACCAGCCACCAACTGTTGTTCCTGGAGGTGATCTTGCCAAGGTGCAGAGGGCAGTTTGCATGATCTCCAACTCCACTAGTGTTGCTGAAGTGTTCTCTCGCATTGACCACAAGTTTGATCTCATGTATGCTAAGCGTGCCTTTGTCCACTGGTATGTGGGTGAGGGTATGGAGGAAGGAGAGTTCTCAGAGGCTCGTGAGGATCTTGCTGCCCTTGAGAAGGATTAAGAGGAGGTTGGTGCTGAGTCAGCTGAGGGCGAGGATGATGATGGCGATGAGTACTAAGAGATCCAAGTGCCTGCAATAATATCTGAATGCTATTTTGATATCTGTGTTTTTGTATGGTCTTGTGCCCTGTGTTGTATTTGTTCTATGAAAAAACTTGCGCTTGTATGAGTTTTGATTCTTACTCGTTTCAAAGCTGTTTTAATTTAGTTTGAAAAATTAAAAATCTATGCTATCGCTATGTTAGTGTAAAGTTGTGCCGAGTTCTTTCATGCTAGAGTAGATGGTTTGTCCTTCAATTGTTGGGTTGCCGAAACCATTTGCTTAAGCACAAACTTTTCACACCTTAGAATACTTGGCCTGAATGTTGTGTATTGGGCCTATAAAATATGCTTCAGGGTGGACTGCAGTTGCAATTGTTCGGTTGTCAAAAGTTACTGAATTGGTTTAATTCATTTTCCCTTTCTGAATTAAATTCATTTAGGTTTAGAAAAGTACTTAAATCTTTCTAAAAAATAAAAAGCGAAGAAAGAAACTTGAGCACAAGTTGTTGAACTTAGCTAGTGGTTGGGGACTTGGGGTTGTTATATCAAACAATAAAGTTATTCGCTTAGAGTAACTTGGCTTAGAAGCAACATTAAGATAAGACACCTTTATATATCTAGGTCTTCTATAACTATCATCCAGTAACTAATAATTGAGTGTGTTCGATAATACATTAACAAAGAAACAATGGAGAACTAGGAAACTGAACTGAAGGGTTTGAAGGAATGGAGATCCTTAATGAGGCCTTGAATGGATGCAGCAGCAGCAAGAAGTGATATGATCAAACAGACCAAGGTCAAAAGCTTTAGCCATAACCAGGTGAAAGAAAAGTGACCAATCGTTTCCCGTGAAATGTACATCTCTATTGGGAAATAAACTGTCAATGGCCAGAATGAAGCAGCTCCGAGTAGACCAAGAACACTGTTGAAGAATGGGAATATCATGGCAATCACTGCAGTTACTGTTACATATACCGTTCTCCAAACTAACCGGAAGATGTTTATATTGTGAACACCACACAAGGGAATTGTAACAGAATATCCTTTTGTTATGAATTCACTTTCAGGCCATCGCTGGCAGCACCATTTCTCCACAGTATTGTATATTGGTTGACAGAATACCTGCAGACAAGCATAATTATGAATCTATCAGACCCCCTTTGCTTCTTGATCAAGTAATGAAATCAAAATGTTACAAACATTATGTTGCAGACCCACCTCAGTGCCATCATTAACTTAATTAACCTATTTTTTTCTAACTGTACCTGGTAAGCTCCCACAAGATGAACAACAATGCATACATTAGCAATAGCAACAAGCCAGAAGGGTTCATAAAATCCAAATCCTGTTAAAAAGTTGCCTGGTGCATTGTTTCCAAATGCTGCATAGCCTAAAGTTCCACACAGCATGTAGAACACAGTGGTGACCGAGACTCCAACAAAACTAGCCTTCTTCATCACTTGAGTCTCTGGTGGGCTTGATTTCAGAGTATCCTGCATAGTGTAACCCATGAAAACATTCAACTTTAAATGTATGAAAAGAACTTACAGCGCTAACTGAGAACTACATATTGCTGAATTTATAGCCGGTTCACAGAGCAATGAAAGGCTATTACAGATATATACCCACTTCAGTCCCCAACTTCGTCATTGGAAATGAATTAATAGTATATTGAACCAGTCGAATCAAAAGTGGCGCGCTCTGAACCCACTATTTGAGATACTAAGAGACATATATGGACTTGCCTGTATCTCAACGAGGACAACAGCAAAAGAATAGGCAAAGGCAATGTCGCCAATGGCCTGTAAAGAGTTCCAGATTTTCTCTGTGCTAGTCACATCCACTCCAATGCTTACTCCTGTTAAGCTTGTCCTCGCATGATTTCCTCCTTTAACATCATCACATAAGAAACACAAACCCAGCTAAAACATTGTTATTAACATTGAACAAACTTTGCATATTGCATTAGTTGCTGACCTGCAATTTTAGCTATGGAGAGAGCAAGGCCTATTAAGGAGTATGCAAAAGACATGACAGCAGCGATAATGGAGAGGCATGAAAGCTCATGAAAGTTTGGAATTTGGCTTAATATGATCTCTGTGATCGCAAAGCTTATCATATATTTATTGTTTGATGTATGACATCCTGCATTGTGACCTTTCTTGTGGAAGCAATCTGATCTTATAACTGCCCTGTTCATTTTATGAAATAAATATAAATGAAAATGAAAACCGCCGCATTCAGAGTCCACACAATGATATTTGAGATTATAAATATAGCTTACGCCATGCTAACTGATGCAGTAATTGTGTATCCAACTGTTATTCCAACAAGATTCCCATATTGAGCTAACCCACAAAATTTGTACTTAATTCCTCCTGTGCAAAAACACCGAGAGTTAGAGTTTACTGAATCATAATACTCCATGTTTACACACAGCTTTACATTTGTTGATACCCATGTTCCTAAATGTCAAATTTATTATAATAATATGATTTACAAATATTATAAGAATAACCACCACTACCAATGGATGACCGAACGGTCAATTAGAACTCTTAGGTGTATTATTCAAAAGGTTTAGAGTTTGATCCACCTCCGCCCCTAATAGAGGTGGACACTGACCCGATCGTTAACTTTAGGACCCCGAGAATTAGTTGTGCGCGTGTCATATATATTCTTGCCTAATAAAATTGTAATATATACTCATTTATGTTTTTGTCTCTCTACCTGATTACACTAGTCTAGTTTTTTTTCTTTTCTTAAGGACATACAACTAACATGAGACATTGTTATCCTATGTTTCACCTAATATTTTCTCGTATTAACAATACGTCCAACAAAAAAGTGAAAACTTCAAACGAAGTATTCCGATAACTTTTATGATTTCTTTGTTTCCCCATATATTAAAGGTACCTAAATTGGCTTTTACAACATCGATGTAGGTGTAATTTCTTGATCCACTGGTGGGAGACCTGTAACAATCAGCAAGAAGAGTAGAAGTAAACCAAGTGATGATAGAGAAGATGAAGATAGCGGCAGGCCCAGTAATCCAGCCCAATTGAGCAATGGCCCATGCCAGAGATAACACTCCTGATCCAATTACAGCCGTTATGATATGTGCACTTGCAGTCACCCATGTTCCTTCAAAACACAAAGCACCATGCAGACAAAATTGATTCCTAGCAACAAGAAACTGGGAATTTTGAAGAAGAAACAGAGAATTACAAGGTCTAAGAAAGAGTAAAAAAAAAATATTACCGGTTCGTTTTACTCGACCGTCCTCATCGAATTTAGAGTTGGCAATGCCTGTTTCTATGCTGAGTGTTCTCTCTTGCAGCCCTATAGCCATATCTGTGTGTGAAATGAAAGAAGAGTGTGTCTTTGACTGGTCTTAAATAACAAAAAAATCGAAGTAAATGGGAAGTGATTTAATGATGATAAACAAAAATGGAAAGTTTACTTACCCAAAAAAAAAAGGAAAGTGATTTCAACATGCTTAAAAGAGTATAAATGCAATATCAACATAATGAATTTCATATATATTTAGCCTACATAATGAATTAATTCTCATGTCGAGGAGTCTTAATTTTCGAGTCTCACCTAACGAAGTAGACTGAAAAAGAAAGAAATTGAAAAGGGTTTCACTAAGCTATAATTTCAAAATGTTTTTATTTGGAAAATAAAGCACTTAGCCTTATAAGTGGTTGGAAGATGAAACACTAAATATTATACACTACTTACATTATATAAAAATTCTCTCGTGCATTCAATACATCAAATAAAACAACCTATGTAAATTTCTATTATAAAATAAAAAAACTTATGTAAATTCTTATGTAAAAGGGTTTTGATTAATTCTTATGACAAGATAACAAAGAAAGAAAGTCATAGGATGATAATATATATATTTGGTAATCGAGGTTTTTAGGCCAGTTTGCGCGTACCTTAACTAATTTTTTGGGTCTATTGAACACCATTCAAACTTAAAGGACAAGATAAACTATAATGTTATTGTGATATGTGACCTCAAAGTTTGAACCTAAGAACTCAAAGAAGGGAGCAAATCTCCTTAATCGTCATGCCAACCCTTGGGGTTTACATATATATATTTCTGATTATTGAAATCTAAAGTTTAACTAGAAAATTATTTGAAAGAAGTATTTTTAAAATTTTAAAACATTTGTCTTCTTACATTTTTTACACAATTTTTAAAATGAGGGTTTCTTTGATTTGTAATTTTTAATAATTTATCCATGATTAACATTACTTAAAAGTCAAAATGAATTAAAACTTAGAAGTTTTCAAAGTATTCACCTATAAAACAATACCAAATAAATAAAAGCATTATAATTTTTTTTTATTTGTTTTTATTTTTTTTTTTATGTTAAGAAATTAAGGTCTTTAGTAATATGATTCCCTAATAGTCTTGACTAGAAATTTTAAATAAACACTTGTTAATGTTAATCTAAAAATTGTTTGATTTTTGTTTCTCCCACGAACCCAAATTCCCTGTCAATGAAAAAAAAAAAAAAAAAAAAAAAAAAAAAAAAACAAACAAACAAACGTATTCAATTGTACCCACAATGGATGTGGCACGTGGAGTGTATGATTTTATTTTTGTTTTAATCAAATTAAAATACAGTATATACATATCACTTGAGATATGCATAGAATTTGAGATAGGGTATTGGATGTAGAAGTATTATAGAGTTTAATCTCATGAATGACAGAAAAATAAATATAATTTTTCAAAAGAAAACGAAAAAAAATGAATTAAACATATATATTTCAGATTAATTAATTAATAATTAGCAAACTGTATGAAAGAATCAATCAATTATAATTCAAATATAACTAGTCATCTAATCAGTTCGAGAAATCTAAACTATCATTGTCACCTTCACCTTCACCTTCGGATATAATCAAGCAGTTCATCAAAGAATGGTGAAGAAAATAAAGACTCGAAGAATGAAGAAAGATAGACTCAATTTCTTTTGTGATGTCAATACAATAAAAAGAAGAGGTTTGTGATTTTATTGAATAAAGAAGACAGAAATAACTAGGCTACATTGGTAAGACAGTTTCGAAAAGGAATATTTCTTAAAAAAAAAAAAAAAATAAATGAAGAAATTTTAACAATTAGGAATTTAATATTCTTGTAAAAGGAAAAAAATAATTAAGAAATAAAACTTCTAAAATAATAAAAACTCCTAAAAAATAAGATACACTGGCTAATTCATAGACTCTTAGTAAGGAAACAAAACAACCAAATAAAACAATCAACGACTTGACTTTCAACACTCCCCCTCAAGCCGATGTAGAGATGTTGATCATACCAGGTTTCTCTACAAAGTCTTTGAAGTTGGTTCGAGGAAGAGCTTTTGTGAGAATATCTGCAGTTTGACCGATTGTTTGAGTGTAGCTAACCTTGAAAATTCCTTGTTCAATCTTTTTTTTGACAAAATGTCGGTCTATCTCCACATACTTAGTTCGATCATGATGAACCGGATTCTTGGCTATACTGATGGTAGTTGATTGTCACAATGTAATTCCATAGGATGCTCCAAGGTGACCTTTAATTCTAACAATAATCTTTGTAACCAAATTCCTTCACAAATTCCATGCGCCATTGCTCGAAATTTTGCTTCTACGCTATTACGCGCTATAATTGATTGCTTCTTGCTTCTCTAAGTCACCAAGTTTCCCCACACATAAGAACAATATCTAGAAGTTGATCGTCGATCTGTAATGGATCCTGCCCAATCTGCATCTGAATAAACTTCAATGTTTCTTTTAGAAGTTCTTGAGAAGAATAGAACCTTACCCGGAGTCATCTTGAGATATTTTAGAATTCTATATAAGGTAGTCATATGTCTCTCAGTCGGACAATTTATGAACTGGCGGACTACACTGATAGAGAAACCGATGTCAGGTCTAGTTGATACCATCCTTTGTCGACATGAGCACTCCCATCAATAACTTCGAGCTTGACAATTGGATCCATGGGGGTCTTGACAGGTTTACAACCAAGCATTCCCGTTTCACTTAACAAATCCAGAACATACTTACGTTGGGAGATGAAGATGCCTTTCCTTGATCAACCAATTTTCATCCCAAGGAAGTACTTGAGGTTCCCTAAGTCCTTGATCGTAAATTCTTTATCCAAGAATTGTTTGAGAAGTCTGATTTCTTCCTCATGGTCACCTGCCAAAATGATGTCGTCCACATAAACAATAATAATGGCCATCTTCCCTTCAGGATAGTGCTTCACAAATAGAGTATGGTTAGATTGACACTGGGAATATCCATACCCTGTTACTACTTTAGTAAATCTCTCAAACCATGCCCACAGAGATTGCTTGAGTCTATACAAGGATTTTCGAAGTCTACAAATCTTTCTGGAGTTAGATGATGTCTCAAGCCCATTAGGAATATCCATATAGACTTCTTCCTCTAGATCACCATTGAGGAAGGCGTTCTTCACATCCAACTGGTGCAAATACCAATTAAGGTTAGCTGCCAAGGATAAAAGCCTAGTTAGTAAATTCGCGTTTTATACGCGAATTATACGGCTAGCCGTATAATTCCCGTATAAAACGCGAATTCACATATATTATAAGGACTGCCGTATAATTCGCGAATTATATACCCTATCCGTATAATTCGCGAATTATACCCGAATTATTGCCGAATTTTTGCTGAATTTTTGCAGACAAAAAAATAATTACATAATAAGGCAAAACGACGTCGTTTTTGTGGGGTTTGACTAAAATTAAAAAAAATCTCCTTCTCCTCTTTCTCGGTTCTCTCTTCCACAGTCTTCATCTCTTCTTCAAATCTTCAACAATTCAACTCTTTTTTCTTCATCTCTTGACTCTGAGTCTTGATCTCTTCTTCTCTTCTCTTTTTAAATTTTAACTCTCTTCTCCAAGCTTTAAGTCCAAGACTTCAACTCTTCAAGCCTCAAGCTACACACTTCTTCTCTTCTCTTTTTAACTCTCTTTGAATCTTGTATGTTGGTGATTTGTTTGTGTTTGTGTTGGTGTGTGAGTAGTAGTAATAGGGGCTGGTGGATTGATGGATTTGTTATGTTGGTGGATTGATAGATTTGTTTGAAACATGTTTGATGAAATGCTTGTGAGAGTTATATTTGGTATCTGTTTTAACATAATATTTCATTTAGTTCTGTTGTTTTGTGTTGTATGGGTCAAAATGAAAAGACTAAAGATCATCTATGAAAGCAAAAGGTAAAGGCAAAACTGCAAAAGAAAAGCATGAATTCATAAAAATAATATTGTCGGGCTTGGATTTGGAATTGGCAGATACTTAAAGAAGAAGAAAAAAGCAACAAACCATCAGTTTACAACCAACGCCAACTGCAAATTGTAAACCCATGTGCACTTTGTCATGTTTTTAGATTTCATAACACTATTATTATTTGACCTTTGAATGTACTGTCCAATTAAATTCAGAAAATAAAACAACTATACTAATTGGAATCCAAACTTTGTATGCGTAGCTATAAAATTAAGGATAAAAATACTAGTCTTAGTTATTGTTCAAATATACTTTAAATTAAAAGGAAAATAAATTGTAGGGTCGACCACAATGGATTATTTAAATGGGGATGTTTTGAAAAGTGCTAAAACCAAGATTGCTATTGCCGTATTTTTCAAAACGTATTATTGACAATGTGTCGTATTAAACCGTATATATCCGAATCGTATTTTTTCCGTATCCGAATTTTATGACCGAATTTTTACAAACGTATTTTTCACCATTTGCCGTATCATACCCATAAAATTCCCGTACCGTTTTTTTGCCGTACCCTTATTTACTAACTAGGGATAAAAGTACACACATTTCGGTTATATGAATGATTAATTATTTATGTCCCGCTGATATGTGAGTTTATATGTTAAATGAATTAATTTTGGTTGATTCCGTTTTTTAATTAATAGGTGTTATTTGAAATATTTCTTATTAATCCTAATATGATAATCCCTTAAATTTGGGTTAAGCAAACCATTCATTTTATCATCACATACATTTCGGTTTCCACTGAACAATTAGTAATAAATTGACCATAACTTGCTCAATAAAAACCCAATTGATGAGAGAATTGAATCTTTAGAAACTAGACAGACAGCGTTTTAATTTGATATATTATACGCTTAATTTGGATAACTGTAACCCCACTTCTGAACCATTCCTTTTATCATCACACACATTTTGGTTTCTCTTGTTCTTGATTTCTATTGAATAGTCAGTAGCAAATTAGCCATAACTTGCTCAATAAAAGTCCAATTGATGAGCGGTTTAAATATTTGAAAACTAGACAGACAAGGA